TTATAGCTAGACGAAAAAATTCCATTTGCATTCTCTTTAAATTACCCCTATCTTGTCGTATCAATGTGTTGTCTCTTTCTCGATTATTTTCCAGCCTAGTTCATAGTACGGTGAATTCAGAAAATCTGGTCCCCGGAGAGAACCAAGGCTCGAATTGCGTTTCATTAAATCAACATTATTTACATATGTATACGTTGTCTGGAGTACATATTATCGTATTATAACCGTGATTTTCTCGTGTACGGACTCGTTACAAATGGACAGGTTTGTTTTAATCATAGACTGGTAAATGCCCACTCCAATTGCTTTCGAAACTATATTTAATGCAATCCGTGCAACAGCGTGGAGCCATTCGGTCGTAATACGCAAACGAAATAACCGAGAACCTCTAGTAAATTTCCAAACGCGTACATGTATGTACGCTGCACACTGTTGTGCTGATTTTCTCTGGACCGTGTAACGTGGCTTGATAAATAATTCCAGATAATTCAACCATTGTTGTTAGCCAAAGAATTATACTGGTCAACCGTAATTCACGGAATGTTATGTAAAAGCTGATACGTTCATTGGTAAACCGCCGATATTAAAAGACCTCATACGTCAATGATTCGCGGTAAGCTCGAGATCGGGACGAGGATTACGCCAGTTTCCCGAGTTGTATTCAACTACGCGCACACGGATATTGTTTTTCCAGAAATTTGTGCGAGACCTCAGCTCTCGCGTATCACCGTAGTTTCCCACTGAAGTTGGTTCAAGAGGGACGGTGTGATCGATTGCCACCATTTTTGTTCTCGAAGCTTCGATTAATTAAACCTCTTGTGATTGCATAGTAGATAAGCTACATTCGCTACTTTCCCCTCTCATCTCTACAATTCGATCCCCTTTCTTATAGTTCGTATACCTCTCTTCATGTGGAAACAATTCAGTCCGTTAAATCACAGGAACACAAAAGATCATCTTTGACCTTTTCAAAGGACTCGGAGAGTCAACTCGGAGAGAAACTCGTTAGGAACGTGTCATTCACGATTCAAAGCTTCGCGTTAGAAGGTCACGGCTGATACC